CACACGCGAAACACGCCAAAGCGGAAGTAAAACGCGGGAGGGGAGCGCGCCGCCAGATGCGCTTTCTCTTAGCTTCCTCGCCGCGGCAGCCGTCGTCGGCTTCTGTCGATGCAATCGGCCGTTGCCGTGCAGGAATTAATGACACGCGTCTCGAAGAGACAAGCGCATGAATAGGTGACACATGCGGAGGTCGGCCGTAAACGGCGCTCCACACGAACAGACGCGCAAACGGCTGGCTCCATTCCCCTGACGGCCGCCGCTGAGCTCGTAAAGCTGTCAGTCAGCGCCGGCCGAGCCGGCCGGCCGCAAACGGGGGAAGCCGCTGTCTTCTCTCTTCCCGTTGAGCACGAAAGCTCTCCCACCGAGCGTCTTCCGCGGGCAAAGCCCCTCTGACAGGGCGTCCTGGAGTAAACGAGCTCCGCAACACCGCGCCCGATGCCTCGCGTCGGTAGGATGCGTTTGCCGAGCCGCCGCAAGATGTACACGGGGTCTGCACATGTCGGAATGTCTCGAGTCTCTCACGGCATGTGAACAAACTCGTAGTATAAGGACCACGGAGTTGCGGCGGAAAAGGCTCAATGCTCGCGCAGTTTTCGTCGCGCACGAAACCGCGATAACGGTGGAACAAGACTCGCTAAATCACAGCTCCTATTCGCAACACGCGTTGTCAACTAAGATTCCTGCTTGCGCTGTTTCTTGTTCGCTAAAACAGCACCAGCACACACTCTTACGCGCAAGTTTGGCACTATTACGCGCAAGTTTGGCGTCACGTAGCACGTGAACTTATTATGAGCGGGCAGCTGATTAATTGTCCCTCTTAGGTATACACTTCTTTCCCTTATTTCATTGAACGAGGGTCTCGTACTGGCAGACTTGGTGTGTTTAGGTTGTATAAGAGGGACAATTAATCAGCTGCCTGCTCATAATAAGTTCACGTGCTACGTGACGCCAAACTTGAGCGTAAGAGCGTTTTCACACTCGTCGTTTGGCTTATAGATGGCGCTCACTGTCACTCCTACTTCTAAATTCACATATAAACCCAAAAAAGTGGATGGAGGGAAGGCTGCTGTGGTAGCTCAGTGGTTAGAGCATCGAACGCGTTATTCGAAGGTCGTAGGTTCGATTCCTGCTCACGGCTGGTTATTTTTTCCTCCACTTTTCTTTCTTCCTTCTTCTTATTTACATTCCCTTGGTTCTAATAACTTCCCCTGTACATTCCTTGGCAATACTGTCTGTTAGATCTCAATAATATTGTGTTAAAACACGGAAAAACGAGCCCTTAGGTATACACTTCTTTCCCTTATATATATATATATATATATATATATATATATATATATATATATATATATATATATATATATATATATATATATATATATATATATATATATATATATATGGAGAGAGAGTCAGACTCCCCTATTACATTATGTGATACACTGATATAATTATGAATATTCCTAGTGGGAGACTACAGATTAATTTCTCAATTTCCGAAAAGACATCGATCTACCTTGCTTGAAACGCTTCGCTCAAAGCGGAATAGGCCACATAGGTGACTAGCTGACTGCATCACATGAAATCGATTTGCCGTTTTTTTTTTCATTGACATGCTTTACTTACTTTGTAAATCATAAACCAGACACCAGAGAATAAAGCTTTAATTATGCGCGTAAGTTCAATTTAAGACGGCCAGTAATAACGCGAAGACCGTAAAAAAACGAAAATGCGATTCTATACCACTGTATACTTCTGCTAAGCTGGAGTTATGAATTTTTCCACGTAAGACTTGTTTTCTAGTGCTTTTGGGTCAACAGAGCCAGTTGGCACAAAGTCCGTTTGCTGATACATCAAAAAAAAAAAAAAAATGTGTGCCATCTTTACTCGGCACGTTTATAGGTAGTCATGTATAAAGGTAAACAATTTGTAGACAATCAAGATACTGCCCTTACATATTGGGAGAGCAAGACTTGGCGAAATAAAGGATTACCATACTGATTGTGTCGAAATTGCTTTGTGTTCTCAATAGCATATTTTGTGTTCTGAGAACCAGTCACTGCGCACTTCATGGCTAGTTCTTTGTCAACACAACATATTCTGCACATACAAAAGCGTTTGAGGGGAATTTTTAACTGAATGTTTGACTTATCCCTGGTCCATCATCCCAAATATAAAAGCCTGAAATGAAAAAAAAGATGGTGGTATAATTAGCCCCCAGTAAAATAACTAACAGACAAGACGGGCAACAGGCTGATGTTAAAGGATGGGAAACAAAAGCAAGCTCTTGAAAAAAAATCAGAGCTGGCGCCAAGGGAGGGCTTCGCCTTCATGAAGCCATTCGAAAAGAGAGAGCCGAGCCCCCCTCCCCGTCCTCCCCTCACCCCTTGCACTCTCTGCGTATTCCAGAAAACATTACCTGTACTTCGAAATTTGCAGCTACATCATAGCTCGCTCACAACAATTCCAGGTGATCTGACGAAAGGATGTGCCCATCAGAACCACTTACGAGAGGTTTCTAGACTTGGACATCAATACGCAAGCTTCTGCATATATTATGGAATAGACTTCATTCTGCCAAACCTTGTTCGAGAGTGAAAATTTATTCATTGCAACTTTGTAAGAATACTCCCAAAAAGATATTGCGAGTACGCAACGCTAACAAGGTCATGGTACGTGGCTCTATTAGAGTCATCCCGCAGTTGAGTTGTCTCCACCGTTCACGTTACAGTAGCCTAACTCAATGTTTTCTTCTCTTTTTTTTTTGCTTTTGCTACAACGGCCATTATATTTTTATGTTCTCGTACGGTAAGTAACGTGAATTATATATTCATAATTATTGTGAAATTACATTGATTTATAAAAACATTCGAAATGTACTAAGTATTTAGGAGATGAGCATTCCAAAACAAAATACATCGGTTGTCACGAAGACGGCGCAGCCTTTGCAAGCCTCAAAACACCGGAGCGACACGTTGGATGCGGCTTCGACGTCGGCTGCAGCGAGACATCGATCTCTTGCGGACGAGTTCGATCTCGCCCCACGTTTTGCATACTGTGTGACGTCACACCCTAGTTTTAGCCACTCCTCGGTAGATGGCGAGCAGCGTCCCGCTTCCTTCGCTCGGAACACGCTGCCCCGAAAACAAGGCCCCCATTTAGTTTAACATAGCACGCAAAACAAGTTACGTTTCTCGTTAAATGAAATTCAAACGTATACCTTTAATTATACTACACTGATTGACCGAATTATAGTTTTAAGTTGATAATTTCGACCTGCAGGTCGTGGGATCAGATCCCGGCTGCGGCGGCTACATTTTCGATGGAGGTGAAAATGCAGTAGGCCTGTGTGCTTAGATTTAGCCCCATGTTGAAGCACCCCGTGTTGTTGAAATTTCAGGAGCCCTCCACGGCGTCTCTCATAATCATATGGTGGTTTTGAGGCGTTAAACCCCACATATCAATCAAGTTGATAATTTCAGCAAAGAACTCGCCAGCAATGTATGCTTTAGATGTTATCAAAACACGTCGCAGTTTATAGACGAAAGCGCGAATATACATTATGTAATAATGCAAGCAATACTGTACGAGTGGCTACCCACAACAGCGAACGATGTTTTGTCTTAGCGTTGTTCAATAAGAGCGGCAATAGCGCTGTTCACCGGCCGGCGCTGCATGAACTGGCTGATCAGTGAAAGCCTCAGAACTGCACACATCCACGTCTCTCACAGATAATCGGATCTGGCAGTGAATGGCGGAGCCGACAGAAAATGCCGAAAGCACGCGCAATCAGCGTTTATTGCCGTCAATGGGCCCCGCTGACCGCGTTTATTTCTCGCATATGCTGACCAGGGGCTATAGGCAAAAATTTTTTCCGGGGGGGGGGGGGGGGAGGGGGGAGGGGAGACCTCCTTTATTTCGAGGTGGACACGGGCTTGCTGTGCTACCACCTGGCTATACGCCACTTCTGCTGACGCCTACAACCTGGGGCTGGTCTGTCGTTATACATGGTATGTCGAACAGTCTCACAGCATATGCCTATATTATTCTGTGCGGATAATTCGCCACTGTATACTTATCTGGGCTGTGCTTACGTTATGCTTATCCGTTTTTTTCATCATACTCGGCTATGTGCTAGTGGTATGTGGCTGTTAGAAAAATGGTCGCGGCCTGTACGCGCTTGTGGCCAATTGTTACAATTTTGTCTCATTTCGGCCCATAAACACGTCATTTTCTAGGACAACTGGTGTGAGGAAGAATTTTGTACAAGCTTTGGGTATCCGTGACCGAGGTGGGGAATTCCAGTCGATTTTAACACGAGCGAAAAAAAAAAAAAAACACTCACATACCATAACATGCATAAAAAAAAACAAGAAAACAAAGTTGTACGTAGTAGCACCTTTAGATTTCGAAAATGTGCAACCCAACAAAGCCACTTACTGCAGCTCATTGAATCATCGCAAGAAATGTATGAAATCAATGTGCGCGTGTTATACGACCATTCAACACTGCGGCGATATATGCGATTTTATTCGATGTTTGCAAGGAAACACGTTCTTGCACGGCGCAATAACCCAAGTGTAAAAAAGGTGAATCAATGAACGGCAACACGAGTAAATGAGAATTCTCACACTCGTACAACGCGCGAATAAACGATAAGGCGCTTCGCAAGTAACCACCGTCTATAGCGGCTTGGACGCGTCGCAGCGAAGCGGCATACGTGAACGTTAACATGGAGACTCCAAAATGTAGACGTCACTCCCACACGCTGCGACACGTCACTGGAATCCACCGTTAATCACTTGTTGGTATACGTGTCCTTCCGCCACGCGTATCGCAGGTCTCAACGATTTTGAAAGTATGCTAAAATTTCAAGTGCAGCGCTGATGCCGCTAACGTTGCCGCGCGCACCGATATGTGTTTACATTTTTCGGACATGGGTGTTTCACAGGGATCAATACATTTCGCTGACTTCGCCTTTTGTGTTTTTGTGTGTTCAGGAACGAGAGGGAAGCCGGGGGCCAACCACGATGCTGTCGAAGATTCCATTAAAAAAAAAGAGAAGCCTGAGTCAAATCTACGGGAAGTACAAAGCAGGCATGGAAACCGGCAAGCGAGTTCTGGAGCCCTGTCAATATAAGATGGTGCTGCAATGTATTCAAGAAGTGACAACAAGGCATCTGGATTCCATGTGAAGCAGGAAAAATGCTCTCTCTAAGGAATAAATCAGTCTGCGTTCAACAGGTTGAAAAGAGTGTCCTTAAGTGTTTAGTGTCCATTAAGCAATGAAAAACAGTGACTGGGAATGAAAGCGTTCCTGCATTAGTATAGGTTAATACTACACGTCTGGTACATGCCTCACGTTCTGTGTTCGTTTAATTTTTTCTGGTGCGTGGACAATAACCACTTTCCGGCGTTTAAACTGTCCTGAAACACGTCATGCGATCTGAACAATTTCGATTGTTTGCTGGATCATCTATGGCTCTGATAAAGGGAAAATGAAACCATCTGCGACGTTCTACAGTAGCTTGACATACGTGAACGCCAATTACACTAGCGAGAAATGAAACTGATGGACGCTTTTTCTTTTTGTCAAACAGTGGGGTGCGCGATAATATTCCGACCACCTTTCGCATCCTCTTCTATTCGCTTCCTGATGGACACTCTTTTGATGGACACCCTCAACCATACCGCCAGGAAAGGAGTCCGCAGGTGCGCGTGACATATTGGCCGTTACAAGGCCTCCAAGGGCACCTACTGTAAGTAGCTAGTCGTGAAGTGCCAATGTATTACGTCGTTATTCACCATTCTAAGGAGCACCGAAGTAGACCTGTTATGCGCCTGCAAGACCATACACGCACATACGTAGCCGCACTAATGTTTTTGAAGCTGTGACTGATGATGAAGACTAATTACTGCTGAGCCATATACAATACGTGGGCAGCTTTAAACCACTCACACATCATGGAAATCACATGGGGCGACAGCGTGTGCGATTGTACGCTTCTATCAGGCAATATTACGTCCGTTAACGTGATTCCTCGCACGACATGACACCGTCACTTTTCAAAAGCAGCTCCAAGTACTGGCGCGGCACTATCGAACACCTGACTACAGCACGGAAAGCCTGGTTTAAATTCCGGCTCGAACCTTAATTTCTCTTCTTTGATTCCATCCGGATTTACTCACTCACGGGCAACACCACTGATTGCGGTAGTACGCAGAATTTTCTCCGATACGGGCTCATCGACGCTACTGCATAAACATGGTCACTTTAAAAGCCCCCTGACACCCCATTTTCGCTAATAATCTGTGTTATGCGGGTCAATCCTTGAATTTTCACAAACGAGCCAGCGAAATTTCAGCGCATTGGATTAAGCACGTCACTGACAATATCTTTATAAGCAAGCGAGCACCCTGAGGGTCGGGCAACACTGGCGTAACCGGGAGCCACGATGTAACGAGCTGCTCGCTTTGAGAGAGTCTGTATTCCGGCGAACGATTTCTTTTCGTGGTCACCTGTGCGTACAATGGAGCTGCTATGGCTTTGTTCAGCTCGTCATAGCAATGGAATGATTTGCAGAGGCTGAAACTTTGGTAGAAGACGACGGCTCTTCTCCTTTCCATGCCACACATCACGTCACACACGACATGGCGAAATGGCGGTGGGCAGTGGTGGGCGAATCTAAGCACGGCGACTTCTAAGTATCGTTTCCCAATGAAATATTATTTTACAGTTCAATTTGCACATATGTGCAGGCGCAATAGATTTTCTCGTTTAATTTTTTTTTTTCGCTGAAAACCACAGTTTGTCAGGTGACCGACTCATTGCCCCTTTTGAACGAATTACTTTGGCAATAGTTACACGAACCTTCAGCAGTGAAATATAGTAAGCGCCAAGCGGTTGAACACAAATTAAATTTCGACCATGCAATCTCGAAAGGCAATTCGCAATCAAGATATATATTACCGATATATCTCCTTTGGCTAATAGAGCTAGTTCAATTAAAAAAAAAAAAACATGGGAGATGAAGATGAAGTTCATCCGGCAATGCTTGTTAGTGGTTGGCCTTTATAGCTTCCGCAATGCGTACAACTTTGCCGCCAATTAACAAGCCATTAGTCAAGTGAAGTTAACAAAGTCAGCAGGTCAATAAAGATTAGTTGTAACGGCCACAACGGCCAGGTTTAGTAGATTGGGGACCACGGTCGTTTCTTTTTCCAGTTAAATCTTCGTTAAACTTGTCATCATCACTTGCTCAGCTACTGCCCCGCTAGACGAGGCTTCGAGCCGGCCGCGCCGGTCGCGCTTCGATGGAAGGGACATGCTGGAGGCCACGTAGTGTTCGATGTGAGTGCACGTTAAAAAGACCACGGTTGTCCGATTTCCTGAACCTTTCCGAAACGGCGTTCGTCAGAATCGTGTCGTGGCTTTGGCCACATAGAATCCCAGAAATTACGATTACCGTATTTCCACGATTGTAGGATGGCGAATTTCATCTAAATTTGAAATCCAAAGTTGGGAGGTCGATTTACAATCAAAACCGAAACTAGTTCCGGTCGTAAGGTCGACTTAAAACCGAAACCGAAACAAACAAGAAAACAGGCATGCTGTGACATTATGTTTTCATTTCAGTTGCGCCTGTAAGATATACTATATTTTCCCGCTTACATCACGCATATTCAGCAACAATTTGCGGTTTTTTTTAGAAATAATTCCTGAGAACGGCCGCGAAGCTAGCTTTTCTGTACAGCTGTAAAACACTGCCGTGAAGCCATGTTTTCACAGCAAATTTCTAGTTTTTTTTTAACATATTAAATAAGTTTCCTCCATAAAATGCGCTCCCGCTTTTTATTATTTTGCTGTGCGATTCAGAGGGATCAATTTACATTTGAATCAAATTAAAATTGTGTAAATACGGTAATTATAATTAAAGCTGTCATTTCCTTCTGCTCTATTGCATTTGCCACCAATGCTTCCGAGGCTTTCCTTTCTTTTGCAGCCTTCCAATATTAAAGGGACTAGATCAGTGCCATCAGCACTTCAAGTAACGATTGAAGTGCCTGATTTTGCTGCCTGAAGTAATCAAGTTATTTGGCTTTGCATATCTTTCGGGTGCGTCACTAGTTTCTCTTCGTTGTGTATCGTTCCAATAGGTAAGTCGAGTACCTAAACTATAACGGAATAATTTGAACTGAAGTAAAGTGAATTGAAGTGAGTTGCAAGCGTAGAACTACATCTGTTTTCTTTTTCTTGGTCTTGTCTTTCACGCGCTTACGAATTGGACCTGGTTTGAAGGAACACTAAAAACCAAAACGATTTTTCTTATATCAGTAAATTACACTTTCACAGTACCATAATTCTCACTCTTGCCCAGAGAACACGCATGGTAAACGAGAAAACACGCAAGGAAAAAAAATGGTGGCAACGCTATCCCGAAATTCCTGCACCAATCACCAAGACTTCATAGGTATTCACAGCGCCTAATATGTAGTTCCTAGTCGGTAAAAACTAAGTACTTCATCCTCTGAGGGGGCCAGAGCCTTAACATAATATGTTTCTATAAATTCCATTAAACTAACGTCTCCGAATTCTGAAAAGTTAACTTTGAAATCCGTGACGTCCGCGCAAAAAATCAGTTTGACCTTGATTTTCTTCGCATTAAGTATGCCTATGGTGGTGAAATCGCAGTGTGATTCATCAGTTCAGGACAATTCATTGTTTCACATCAGTGTTCCTTTATTCCACGAACTCCTTTCATGTTATAATACTAACATCTGAGATTTTGCATCCCAAGACCACTGTATAATTATGAGAGACGCCGTAGTGGAGGTTTCCGCAAATATTGGCCACCTGGCGTTCTTTGACGTGGATTCACATCATGCAGTACACGGGCCTCTGGCACTTCGCCTCCATCGAAATGTGGCCGGTATTCGAACCCGCAACCTTCGGGTCAGCAGCCGAGCATCATAACGACTGCTCCTCCGCGGTGGATTCCTTTCGCGCGATTCGAATCCTATCATATTAACCACCGAAAACGACTGCCGATTATTGTGATAGAGTTAAGACGCAATTAGATCACTCAAAGTGCCACGAAAAGAAAGTAGTTTGAAATATAATTGTTATATAATCCCGACATGTCATGTGCAGTTGTCCCTTTAAACATCAAGCGTACTTTGCTAAAAATCATTCGTAATTATTGCAAAAGTTTACCGTGTTTAATGCTCAGTCCCCGCATCAAACATACACCTTTCGTCACCGGGGTGACCGGCCCGAAATGCGTTGATGAAAAAGCACGCACAGCGAAACGCCGTTTATGAACTCAAATTCAGTTATCGCAGCATCCTGGTCTAATCGTTTCCTGGCGTATTAAAACAGTACTAGTAAAACAACTCGTATGACAACGGAAACATTATTATTGCGCAAGTGCCTTTTTTCAGGAACTAGGTTATGTAGCAATTCGCCCAACGAGCCACGAACAGAGCTGGTGACGAGAAACAAACCACCCAAACAACAGAAAAAATCGACAGCGTCGGCAACAATCGGCATCAAAGGGCATCTGCGACGAGCACGCGAGGACCACCACCACGAGGGCTAGTTGCGGCATCGCATGCCACCGTTCTCCGGCACAGGAGCTCACGAAAGCCAAGCGGGCATGGAGGAGTGGCCCCTGGCAACGATGGCGTTATCATATCCACGCGTTAGCGCCACGTGCCACGCGGGAAAATTCGCGCGCACGCGTACACACACAGACAGAGACGAGCGAGAGACAAGGGCGCTATGTACGCCGGCAGGCAACGTCGTTAGGGGCGAGGGACCGCTCCAGCGTCCTGCGGGTCCACGTTGCGCGCCGTAATGGCGAAGAAGGACAGGGGAGAAGAGGCGGGCGCCTCGGAGCGGACGCGCACGAAGAGGAAGCAAACGAAACGGGCGGCAAACAAGTTTCTCATTTCGTTGCCGTGGCGCACTCCTTCGGATCGCCAATAATGCAGACGACGACAAAACTGCTGCTGCTTCCCCCTCTTTTTTTTTCTTTTTCGCGTTCCTTCCTTCACGCCGGCTCCGCTTGCGTGAAGCCCCGAGTGCCTAAAAACTTCTGCATCAGCATTCTTGTAGCCATTTCTTATTTTGACCCGAGCGAAGGAATCGATACTGAAAAGTATAGCGTCGTGTTCGAAAAAACAAAAAAGAAGGAAAGCGGGTGATGGGGGGGGGGGGGGGGGGGAGAGCCAGCAGCCGCGCGGGATCTCC